TAAGCTTTTAAAAAAACACTTTAGATTGGGAATGGTGTTGAAGAATTCGCTCTGCTTTGAAAAGGTATAGCCTTGTATTTTATGTAGTATTTTACATCAGAATACGGTGAAAAAAGGTGCATCCAATTCTAGAATTTAAGGTTAAGTGTGTCATTATTAATTTGGGGAATTAGGAGCGTCACTTAAATACAATTAATTTATTAATTTATTATTAAACATATGAATTATTATTACAAATAATGATTTTTATTTATAAAAAAATAATCGCTTAGGTAATATATATTAATACATGAAAAAAGCATTTAGACATTATTTATAATGTATTGCCAATTGCTTTTTTGTGATAACATTTTAAAAGATAAATTAAATTGTTAAAGTTTTATGCTTTTAGTTGATTACCACTGTTTTGTATCAATATAATACAATATAATTGTATTAAATCATAAATTGCATAAAACAGAAAAATTTAAAGGACAACTCAGAATTTCGGAAAGAAACAAAGAAGGTATTTTGAAAATATCTCAGTGTTTTTCTTTCTTTCTTTCTTTCTTTAGCACAATGAAAGTAAATTTTTTTTTGGATGCCATTGACTTTCAAAGTCTTTTTTTATGTGTGTGCGTGTGTTCGGCATGTAGAAAGATAGTCATAGGGGTTTGGAACAACATGAGTATGAGTAAATGAAGACCGCATTTTCATCTTTAGGTGAACTGTCCCTTTAAGAGTCATGCACATACAGTATATAGGCTAGATTATGACCTCTACTGCAGGAGAGAGGAGACGAGAAGAGATCAGAAGAGATAAGAATGGAAGTATGGGAGGAGGTTTTCTCCCGCAGAGTGTCCTCCTGAGCTTTCTTCCTCATCTCATTCAACATCTTCTCGGGGAGTATTCCCTGACTCTGTCGCCTGTGGCTGCTTCGAGAGCGTTTGTGAGCCGCTATTGTTTGTAAAGCCGCTTTGGAACAATGTGTATTGTGAAGAGCGCTATACGAGTGATTCGATATGAGAAAAGAGATAAAACGAAAGACACGAGAAAAGAAACAAAATGAGATTTCTTGGTTTCTTTGTGTTTTTATTGATATACAATTCAGGATGTTTGTATATTGATTAGTTCACTTTTGTGAATCAAATGAACAATTCCACAAATAATTCAACTGCCAAACTTCCTGTAGGCTATCTTGGTTATCAGCGTGCCACTCCACCATAGTTGTGAGTAGGGTTGTCGAAAGAACTGGTACTTTGGTACTAAGTCGTATTTTAGTTTGATGATACCAGCATTTCTGCTACCGTTAGTATGAGTAGGCCTACCGGGTATATTGGATACACACTGATAGGTGGCTGCTTTCACACTCTCCCGTGTGTATCTATCTGTGTAAGCCTCTGTGAAGAGCGTCAACGGTTTCTATTTACAATGTGTTTTTGAAGTGTTGATCATTGTTGCCAATCAGTCAAACCAATCTGATGTTATTTTCAGGGAAACGCACGGCTAAAGTAGTTCCAGGCTCGTCTTGACCGCATTTCGCATGTCCATATCACTTTGCAAAATAATTTCAGTTATTTCAAAGGTCCTTACACCTTACACAACAGCAAAAGAACCAAAACCCACAATGACACTGACCAAGCAAATACATATAGTAAACAATAGGATAAAAAAGACTAATTATGCCAATGACAAAATTACATTTTATTATGTACGGAAAGCAGATATTCTCTTTCTCCCGTTCAAACTCACACACATACAGTACGGACACGCAGTTCTGCTCTGATGATTTTATCAGTAAAATAATTTAGCAACTTAAAAGCAACATGCCATTTTTCACTAGCGATGTAATAACGGCGCTGTTCTTGAAGCAGATAAACTTGCAGTTTCACTCTTAGTCGAACACTGTTGAGAGAGGCACAGACACAGGATATTCACACACGCCTAATCTCTCTCTCTCTCTCTCTCTCTCTCTCTCTCTCTCTCTCTCTCTCTCTCTCTCTCTCTCTCTCTCTCTCTCTCTCTCTCTCTCTCTCTCTCTCTCTAATAGCTGCATTAGTCTAATGGCTCAAGCCTCCGGAACTAGCTCTAAAATGACGTTCTGGTATTCGCAATGGAGGTGTGTGATGAGAAATTAGCCTTACACACGAGCGTTTTTAGGACAAAAACCTGACAAATGTCTTGAAATGCAGCATCTGAACAGTCTTGAGGTGTGGTAAACCAACCCGATCACACTAAATGCGTCTCTATAGCACGCAGTGTGTTTATCGTGTAACTTATACGCGAAAATGAGTTTTTACGTGCATAGGATACGCATGGGTTGGTTAGGGTAGGTTTAGTAGTGGTGTGGGGTGCGTGTGTATCATACGTTTGGGTAGAATTAGTGGTGTGGGGTGCGTGTGTATTACACGGAAATGAACTGCGTATCAAATGCACGCGAAAACTGCGTATCATATGCACGTAAAAACTAATTTTCACGTATTATTGCACGATAATACACAACAATGCGTGCTATAGAGACGCATTTACGTGAGAACAGGCTGGGTAACCGTAGTATAATCGGAATAAGTTAGAACGGGCCATTGCAAAATTAGAAAATAATGATCAGTCTCATGCATTTCTAATAATTCAACCCCCCCTTCATATCAATTATTCCTTTCATATATTGTAATAGAAGTCAACAACCAACCAACTATGAATAAAGAACGATTGAAAGCTTTTAATGGAGACTCACTGACGTGGTCACACCTGAACCGGTGAGCTCAAGAGGAAATAAACGTTTATTTATGAGATGATAAGAGAACTCTGCACCTCTGCAGAATAAAATCCTCTTAATTTGACAATTTGGTTTGTGATATAAAAACATCCCCATGTTTGAAGCACTGCAGCATTTTGAAATGCAAACAAGGATGGAGGAAAACACAATTATGCTGCGAGAGCAGTTCTCAGAAACCACTGTAAGCTCGACTGCAAGACTCTATCTTCTTAATTGACTGAGTTGCAGATTCAGACTCTGTTTAATGCAAATGAAAAACAACACCTGGAGCAAGTGTCTGCCAGACTGTATGTGGTTCTGAACACAGGGACGATAGATATTTATGGGAAAACAATATCTGTAAGAAACAATCTGAAAAATCATCCATTACGGTGAATAAACACAAGTGCTGACAGAAATCATTAGAAATGGAATCAGAGGCGAACGTCTAATCTCGCCAGTGTTTTCGTTAGCATTATAATGTTGTTCCAGCAAATGCTGACAGGTCTCCCATCTGTTATAGTAATAATTAATTGTGTTTCAGCGTTCTGCACATTGACAGAGACTGTCTGTCTCTCTAGGAACTGCCAAATTACTGCTCAAATATAAGACACAAGTCAATATGGTGCACAAGTTACTTTTATCTTCTCGCTCATGAAAAGCCCCTCAAATCTCCTGTGTGTGTGTGTGTGTGTGTGTGTGTGTGTGTGCGCGCGCGCGCGCGTGTGTGTGTGTGTGTGTGTGGAACCTCCCATCTGGCAGAAATTGTTCAAATAAACACATAATTTGGCTAAAGATCTGTATTAATGAATAATACATTTGGATAACATCTAGGCCTATATGATAAGTGTCTATATGTAATGCATTATATAAATCATATTCTTGAATAGTAATATCTAACATTTTATGGTTGCACCTTCAAGTGCATTAATTTAAAGCACATTTTTATGTGTCAATTTATTCTCATATACATTTTGCAACACCCTGTTGGTTTTCTGCTTGACCTGCATTATAATTTTTAAAGGTGTAGTCAATTCAAAGGTATTATAAATGATTGTAAGTAGTTTTACAAAGTTGTAATAATATTGCAATCTATTTTATGAATACCCTAATGAAGGTAATCCCGATTCCAATGCATTTTATACAGATTTGTTTGCTGAATTTGCAATAATAGTTGGATATATTTTACTGTATTACATATTTAATTTTTACAAATATGTTCATTGAAACACAGCCAGCTTCATGTCACAGAAATAGTCTAAAATGTGTGTCTTCCTCATGGGAGTTTCGGCTGATGAGTCATTCTGTGTTCTGCAGCAGTGTGGACTAGTGAGCGAAACAGTCTCAGAGCGCCACCATGTGTCTCGATTATACATCACATTTGTTCGCATTTCTTATGTATTGATTATGCATTATATACAGTATATACACTGCCATTCAAAAGTTTGGGATCTGTAAGATTTGTTATGTTTTTAAAAGAAGTAGCCTATCTTATGCTCACCAAAAATAAATAAAACAGTAATATTGTTAAATATTATGACATTTTAAACAACTATTATTACTCCAGTCTTCAGTGTCACATGATCCTTCATAAATCATTCTAATATGCCGATTTGCTGCTCAATAAACATGTATTATTATTATCAATGTTGAAACCGTTCAACTGCTTAATATATGCTAATTAATGTTTTTGTGGAAATTGTGATACTTTTTTTTTTCATGATTATTTGATGAATGGAAAGTTCATAAGAACAGCATTTATTTGAAATGGAAATATTCATTCAAAATTATAGTGTCCTTCATAAATATACATTTTATTCCAGTGAATATTTCTCAGAGTGGGTTTATTTTTGAAAGTCAATATTGTATACCAATGTGAAATGAAACAACAGAAATGTTTCACTGTTATGCATTAAATTTTCACATTTTTTGAAACATTTGTTATAAGACAGTTCAGTTTTCAAGTAAAAAATCTGACTTCATAATGTTGTTGATTCAATTTATGGCAGTTCTGAACTACAGACAAACATGTGTAATTGCACTTTTTGACTTGTTGATACTGTTTAAACCTCATGGTTACTGAGCTACTGTGTTAGTGGCAACTTCCTGTGTGACAACTAGCCCCACCCGCTGGTTTTTACTACTACTAGTCATGGTTTTGTAGACCTACCACAAAACTCTTATTAAGTGCACTTATTGCTGAAGGTCACATTGGTGGAAGATCATACCAACAATCGGGTGTCCTGCAGATCTTTAACCAGCAGTTTTCCATCATCTCTCAGTGAGGCTGTATGTCCCTCACAGGAAGCACACTCCTGCCCCCGTGCGGCAGTCCAAACATAGGCAGGGCTTCTGCTGTGTGGAGACCCTGGACGGGCCCGAACTGCCTCATGTGAAACTGCTGGGCGAGTTTACGAGTCATGACGCGCAGGGCGAGAAACGAGGCCAACAGCTCGCCCACGAGGAAGGCCAGATAGAGAGAGTGAACGGCCCGCTCCAGAGGAAGAATGATGATGTCCTGATCAGTGATGAAGAAGAGGAGGATAGGCAGCTGGAAGAGGAAGGAGATCAGCCAAAATCCAGCTAACTCTGGAACCTAAACAGAAGAGTGAAGAAAGAAACGTACACTCTAAACAATGCTGGGTTGTTTTAACCCAAATTTGGGTCAAATATGGACAAACCTAAATGTTGGGTTAAAAATGTAATTTCAAATTTCAACCCAACTTCAACTTTCACTTTCAACTGTACATTTTTTAATTGCATTTTTAACCCAACATTTGGGTTTGTCCATATTTGACCCAAATTTGGGTTGAAACAACCCAGCATTTTTTAGAGTGTTGGTAACATTTGAATATAACCATTAACATTTCTTTTAGATTAGAACTTTTATTTATTTATTTAGCCATGGACATCGTTTTATTTATTTATTTTCATTTAATTCATTTGATTTATCAGCTGTGGTTGCTACTTTCATGGTTATTTATTTATTTATATTGCATTTTTAATTTGTTTAATTAATTCGTTTTACCAGCTGTGGTCACTATACTTTCATATTTATTTATTTATTTATATTGCATTTTTATTTAATTAATTTATTTTACCACCTGTGGTCACTACTTTCATATTTATTTATTAATAAATAATATATATATTTTTAAAATATTTTTTATTTATTTATTTAGTTCATTTGTTTAGTTAGCTGTGGCTAATTTCGTGGTTATTTTATTTTATTTTATTTTTTTTATATCAGCAGTGGTCACTACTTTCATGGTTATTTATTTATTTATTTATATGCATTTCTATTTAATTTATTTGTTTTATCAGCTGTGGTCACTACTTTTGTGGTTATTTATTTCATTTGTCATGTTGTTTTTATTTTTAAAACTTAATCAAATAATTTGATGTTTTGAAACATCTAAAGGTAAATATTAGTTAACCTTAATAGTTAACTGTTGGTTAACTCTTACACTCTTTTTTAATGATATTTAATTATATATTCAATGATATTAATGAATAAAATCAAATAACTTTAATTAAGAACATTAACACATTTTGTACAAATAAATTGCAACTGTAACAAATAATAAATAAAAAAACTTACTTCATGGCTATAGCATACTTTATCCTTTTTTTTAGTTCACCTGCCAGAATACTTATCAGTAGCAAAGTGTGAGTATTAGCATTTAATCTCACGATTTTCTCACTTTCTCTGATTATTCTATTTCTCTCACACACATAGAGGATCTGTTGAGCAGTGTTCAGATGGATGACTTATAACATTTCGTGTGCATTACCTTCTCTTTGAGATTCCCAACGTAACCGAGATACACCCGCAATACCTCGAATATGCTAATCAGGACCATCCCTGTCACCAGCAGACACTGGTAATATGCTGGCAGATAACAGAACTACGGAAATAGAGAAAATAAATCATATTCCTCATTACTAAATATGACCTTAAAAATACCCGCAACCCTTTTTGACCTAAAAAAATTGCTTATTCAAATATTACGAGTATAGGTTTGCAGTGTTTTAAAGGTCTTTCATGCCTTGACACTAGAAATGATCATTGCAGCAGCATCTGCTGTGATTTAGCCGAGCTTTTAAAGGTAAAATATAGCTATAACAGTAGCACTTGAACTTCAGTGTGCCGTTCACAAAGGCAGATCACCATGGATACACGCGCCGTGATTATGTTTAAACACATTTGTATCTGGCATTGCTGCTCATGGCCTGCCAGTATTATGGAAGTGATGTTCATGCATTCATTTTAATAATCACTTACAACATACTTCCCTATATAGTCGGTAAAAAAACAGTACGTGACAAAAGAAGTATGCCTGAATTCACAGAACTGTTCACTAGTACTGACCTTCCACCTTCTGGTGGGTGTATAGTTTCACATTTAAAAGTATCATTTTCATTTTAGCTGAGGGGCTCAGAGAGTGACGCTGATTTTGATTTCGGTCGTGGATGTGACGAAAAATGCTGTGCTGGATGTGTGTGTTCTGGTTAGAAATAGATTGTCTTTATGATATAGCATAGTTAAATATAACAGAGATAAGGCCTACTTGCAGTTGCATTACATGAAGTAAGGATTTGACTATTAATAGGGCACAATAGCCTTATGATTACCGCATATAATTGAACGCACCTTTAAATGCAGCATCATCAGCTCCGAGATCCACCAGAAGGGGAAGAAGAACATGTTGAAGTACAGCAGCATCTGCAGCGGGAGATGAGACCAGACCTCCGCAAACACTGGAAGCAGGAGATCAACAAGTGTGCCGAGATCAGGTCACAAGGTATTCAAGTAATGATGTTTAATCAAATATAACGGCTTTTTAAATCCTCCATTATCATTTTCTTTACCACCTTGCAGGGGTGCGGCCAGGGATTTTGGGCCCCATGAAAAAATATGAGGTAAGGCCCCTACTACTGTACCCGTTCAATTAATAAAATCGATCTCTGGGGCCCCTAAAAGTGTGTGGGCCCTTAGAATCGTCCTAACTTTTTCCCCCTTAGCGGCGCCCCTGCCACCTGGGGTAACTTTTAAGTGGAGGTAACACTTCCATTCAGATAGAGACTATTATAAACATTGTGTTACTTTTTTATAATTAGCATGAATGAAATTATTTTTGTTGTGAGATTATTTGATGCATTTGTCATAATATATTATCTTAAAGCTGCAGTCCGTAGCTTTTTTAAGTTAAAAATAATCCAAAAAAATTATATTAAAAAAAACTTATTCTGCCAGTGGTCAAAACTATCTGCTTGCCATAGCTAGATTCAAAACGGTTAGCTTGTAATAATAATTTTAATTCCAGTGGTACTGGTGGGTTTCCGCGGGTAATTCGAGCATGTCTTTGCGTCATTACGTCACACCCGTACACATAAAGAAGGAGTTTCGGCTAGCCGGCTATACTGCGCGTGACGAGATGTTTAGATGTATAGGCTTTTCTCGCAGCACTTTACATAATTAAACTTATGGCATCCAGAAAGATCCAAACAACAATCATCAGTGTCAACTGGAGATTCAGCAGTTATAAAACCCAAAAGACTTCGTACTTCGGATTTAAGGTGGCTAGAGAAAGAGAAAGAAACCGTCTCATGCGAACACAAGGATTTAAACATCGGCGGGGCTTTTGAAAAGTGCGTGAACTCCGTGTTTTGATTAAGGGGTTCAAAACGGAAGAAGAGACGGCTTTTTTCTGCTGAACAAGTAAGACATTTCAATAGTTCAATCGTGTAACAGTACGTTTTCTTAATTCACACAGTTATGGAGTTTCCTTTGTTGTGCCTTTCTCGTTTTGCTATTATGGAGAATATGAATCCTGAACTACGCAGGTAGCTGCTAACCATAAAACACATTAAATTTAACATTAGTCACGCAATGCTGACGTTGTTAGCATGAACAATTTGAGAACAAAGTAGGCTATAATTTGCACGGTTGCTGTAAATCGCGTTGATTAAATCTAACGAAGCTTATCATGTCGAATGCTTTTTCCCCCTTAGTTGGTCAGAACAAAAATGGATTTTACTCACTTGTTCAGAAGACATTTTCTTATGAAAATTCTTATGTTGGTCAAACTTTCAAAAAGTGAATCTGTGATTCTGCATGACAGTATCCACACAGCGCGGTGACTGACAGCAGCACTCGCCTCAAAGCACTGTGTTCATCCGCGCTGTTTCATGCCGATTTACAACCCACGTAAAGATGATAATTCCGCGAATCACTGCAGTTACAGATTTCGAACAGAGAGATGGCGACAAAGAGGAAAAGATACGGACTGCAGCTTTAACGTAAGATTAAAACTACCGACTTGTCATCAAATGGCCCTTACTACCCTGTTAAAAAAGTGATTTTGGTTTGTCCCATCTTTAACAATTAAAATCACACAGTAAGGTTGACAATAAAATGAATTATTTAATTTAAAGGTAAATGTTGTTTCTTTTCTACAGCATGATGAAAAGACAAACCATCTTGTCTTAAATAAGTGGAACCCTTAGAAAAATGACAATAACCGTGGCAAAATAAATGAGGAAAAGATAATGAAAATGATTTATAATTATCCTCTTGTGACCAAAGGTTTTGTATTTTTTCTTATATACAAAATATTTCAATTCCTTTTTTTCATGATTCACGCATTTCAATTAGGCTAATAGTAAAATTCCATCAAATTTAATTGAAAAAAGGATTGAAATATTTTGCATATATAATGTGTAATATAATGTGTAAATCTTGAAAAAAGAAGGCTTGAAAAAGTGTATTTTAAGTAAATTGTATGTACTATACAGTATAGATACACTAAGTTTTGAATAAAAAAAAAAGATTTTTAAAAAAATCTCTTATGGCTGTACAATACTATATGGCTGTATTTATTTGATCAAAAATACAGTACAAACAGTGATATTTGAAATTATATATATATATATATATATATATATATATATATATATATATATCTTTTTTTCTGTTTATTTTTTTTTTTAAATGTGATTTATTCCTGTGATCAAAGCTGCATTTTCAGCATCAATTACAGTCTTCAGTGTCACATGATCCTGCAGAAATGTTTTTTACTGTATATTTGCTGCCTTGGTTAGGAGACTTCTTTCAAAAAAATTAAAGAAATGTTAAATATGACAACATTTTAAGAACAGAAAGTTCCTGTTCTTATTATATATTTCTTGATATCCACTTGTGCAATGTGACAAAGACCAACAGTGTAACAATCCTCTCTAATCTAGACATGCTGTGCAGTGCTTTGCATTTGGACGTCTCACCTTCATTATCCTGATACGGGTCCCTGAAGTCTCCACTGTCTCGTGTCCTGTTATTTATAAACACTGACCCGCTGACATTAGCCAGACCCACTCTCAGGTTCTGAGGGATCGGCGTGTAAAACACAGGCATGGTGGAGACAACACCAAACGCTCATCCACTCGGTCCGGCACGTTTCTCCACTTCGGTGTGTGTGTGTGGTTTGAGATTAATTGGGAGTCTTTCAAGAGCTAACCAGATTAAATCCGAGGAAACAGATGGAGTCTGACAGCAGATTAAGATGTCACCCTCGCCATGGTAACCGTACAGTTAATGATACTACACAGATCAAAAGGAAATTAAATACAAACATTATCATTTTCATATGCAGTATTTCACTTGTTTTCCAGGAAAAATATCTAAACACCTGTAGATCAACATGCAATCTTAAGACTTGGTTTCACATAATATTTTAATATCCTCTTAGCAAATTGCAGTGTCTTGTTTTGAAACATAATTCTAACAAATATAATATAATTTGTGGAGGTTTATGCTCAAAACAAGAAATAGATTTGCCAGGGGAATACAATTAATGAAGTCTTAGCCACCACTGTCAGCAGAAAACTAAATCAACTTTTGATTTTTATCACATATTCATTTGTTGTGGTTTTATTTTGGAAGAAACTCTGGTTAATATTGTGAATGTTTGAAAGAGGCGAGCTGTTTTGTACAGTCCGCAATTTGAATAATACAATTAATGAGTTTATTCTTTAACAGCTCAGTCTGAAAAGAGACTTTGTTTTAAAAAATCCCACAATTCAATAATTAGGCTTCTCATTTATTCTGACAGCTTCAACGACTTGTCACCTATTTTCTTTAATGGCCATATTTCAGTGGGTTTGTTCTGTAGGCTAATTGTGTTCCTTTGTGAAAATCAAGTAGGCTCATACATTTTAATGAAAAAAGAACAAAACAATGACACACAAGCCAAAGATGTAAAAAAGTTTATTGTAAGATATCTATGATTAGGACAGTGATGCGCCAAACTGCCTCCAGCCATGTGTGTGTCGGTCCAGAGTCAGTTTCTGTTTCTGAACTTTGCGACCCTGGACGTCATTTACGGCAGGCTGCAGTACCGGCGCTGACCAGCGGGTGTCACAGTTCGTCCCGAGGCGCGTTTAATGGGAAATGTTTGAACTCCTCAGGGATTTCCTCGCCTTTCTGTGACCTTTTATAGAAACCCAGAGAATCCAGCAAGCTGCTGATCTCATCTGCCTTCATCTTCTGCACTGGAACAACCTGAGGTATGCAAAAATTGCTGTCAGTGGAGTGAAAGATAAGTCATTTCACTCGGCGGGCCATCTTTGAAACGCCTTATGGGCAGCTCTTTCACTCATGCACTCCTATCTCTTTGAGTGGAGAAACATCAAATTCTCCAAAGCTGTCCAGCAAGCTTATGATTAAATTTCATATTTGAAATCACCAATGAAATCTGACAACAACTGTCTCACAAATTTTGTTTTAAAATGTTGAAATCGTAAAAAAAAAAAAATTCCAGGCTGGACCAGCCAGCGTCCTAAGCGTATGTCTCTGGCTACGTAGTTTACACGAGTGCATTTTTATTTTAAAACACATAACTTTTGCTACGGTTAGTTAGTCCTGGCATATTCTACACTGCTCTGGAGTTTTTAAACCTTTTTTACAGTCTATGTTTTTAACCCTCAATTTTTAGGCCTTGTTTGCACTACGCTTCATTTGAAAACGCATCTTTTACCTCTCCGTTTTGGGCTTCTGTCCACATTGAGACGGTGTTTTTGTCAACGAAGACAGAGCTTTTTAAAAACGCTCTTACAAGTGGATAAATTTGAAAACGCCATTTTCGCGTTGTAGTGTGCTGTGAAAACGGAGGTATTTGAAAACGATGACGCATGTTTGGGGCCATTTACGCTACACCATTTTAAACTAAAAACGTAATACTTGAGTTTTGGCCTTTCATTTACACGACAACGGCGTTTAGTGGCCTGAAAACCCAAACTTTTGAAAACCGTTTTTGCTACTAGTTTTTGAAAACAACATCCTTATCATCTCCATGTAAAAGTACGTTTACATGACAACGATGTGCTTTTTCCGCCTACAGACGAACCCTGTATTCTGCTACCAGGCCATTAGATGGCGACGAAACACTATAGACTGAACACATAATACGCATGTGCATGACATCGTCTTTAGAGATTCACATTCTTGTTGTTTACACGGAAACCGTTTTCAAAAACTTCCAAAAACAAACTTCCGAAACCCGATGTATACAAAGTTTTACAGTTTTTAAAACAGTGTCGTGTAAACAGCCCCTAATGGTGCGTTCAAGTCATCTCGTATAGATCGTATTTACGAGTTGAACGCCACCACAATGTCGTAAATACCAGTGGGAAGCTCAGGATTTTCTCTAAGCCCCGATCTTTCCGAGTTGTGGGCGTGTCACTGAGAAACATGGCGGAATGCCACAATACTTAAAAATTAGGCAGTAATATTGTCAAGGTTTTCTATTTACAGCGCAGTTAAGCTAATTGCTTGCACAGAATATGATGGCATTATAATATAACAATGCAACATGTAACGATAAAGTTGGCAGTGGCTTCATAAATTAATTAAAAACATTAAAAAACAGAGTACATCTGATGCCAATTTATTTGTTCTTCATTTTCTAGAACAAGAGTTTAAGAACCTTACTGTATTTTTGTGTAATTAATTAAGAGAAAGTACTCCGCCATCTTACTGCGACGAAAGTGACTTGAACGCGCCTGCCGTCGTAAACACGACTTCCCACCTCGTACGTACGAACTTCCCAGGAGGACTTGAACGCACCATAAGTAACAAATACAGCAAATATCAGATATCTCCTGAATACGAAAGCCCTGAACCGCAACGAAAAAAAAATCTAAAATGACAAAATTAAAGTCGAAACATTTCGAGAAGTTATTTTACGTGCAAGTGTAAGTTTTTGTCATTTTTTTTCCCCTGAACCGCAGCGTAAAAAAAAAACTCTAAATATTTTGACTTTAATCTCGAAATGCTAGATTTTTTTTTTTTTTTTACGTTACGCTTCAGGGTTTCCGTACCTGCATGTGTTCAGTGGAAAACAATGACAACAACTTACACTTGCACATAAAATAATAAGGTTGTCCTTACCTTCACTTCCTCATCCTTATCGTTGTAGAAGATCAGCCGTGGGTTTTTTTCCTCTCCTGAATCATACTCCAGGTTATGACTTTAAACAGCAGGTTAAGGTTAACGGCACAAGGCATATGACCTCTGAGGCCATGAAGTGCATGACGCCGGGCTCGAAGTGTTTAAACATATGGCAGCACGAGGGCCTGTAAAGATTTCATTAACATTCCCGTCCCTGTCAAATACTGTCTTACCAAAGCCATTTGGAAGAAATTTTAGACACTCTATATAAAGACAATAGTCACCTACACATACTAAACTGAAAACAGGAATTACAAGAAAATGAGTTATAATGTCTGGATACTAAAGTGCCCATCGCTCCATCAGGAAATCATAGAGCTCTGGCATCTTCTTTATGGATCATCCCACGACACTGGGAGCCTGGGAAGGGATTAAACAGGGATTTACAGCAAAATGGCTAAAAGGTGAAAACAAGTGTTTTTACTCATTCTTTATCATCAACTGTTCTTTATGACATTATAGCTTGTACAGCATTTAATTTACTGAGATTATTATTATGCATTCTATGTGTCGAGAGTTATTTCAATTAGAGTATGTAATTTAACAATCTACTCTACGAAAGAAATGAATACTTCTGTTCAGCAAGGATGCATTCAATTGATCAAAGTGACTGTAAAGACATTTGTAATGTTACAAAAGATTTCTATTTCAAATAAATCATGTTTCTTGAACTCAAGTATTAAACAGCGCAGCTGTTTTCAGCATTGATAATAATAATAATAATAAATGTTTCTTAAGCATCAAATCAGCATATTATAATGATTTCTGAAGGTCATGTGACTCTGAAGACTGGAGTTTGATCACAGTAATAAATTGTATTTTTTAAAATATATTCAAGTAGAAAACAATATTTCACAATATTAGTTTTTACTGTATTTTTTTTAATCAAAATAAATGCTGCCTTGGTGAGCAGAATAGACTTTCAAACACATTAAAAATCTCACTTTTCAAATCAAACTTTTGAAAAGTTGTGTGTGTTTATATTGCCCAGGATTATAATAATGAAATGTATTTTAACATCATTAGCTTCTATGCTAACGGAGATTGACGCAGTCTGTCACATCATTGGAACATAAAAGTGACTTTTTAGAGCAAAATTCCTTGCATTTCAGCTGTTGAACACTCACCATAAGTTTTCCTCTGGCTATAAGAAGCTTTTCCTCCACAGCACTGTTTTCCGCACTTCTCCCCGTCGCACACAGAGTCAGAAGGGCCGCCAGTGTAAGCCACATACTGCGCTTGGGATGGGAGACCTCACTGTATCTAAAAAGATAGGGGTCTTTTGGCGAAACAAGGGTCTATACGAGCAGATATGGGTTCTCTGAAAGGTGTCCCCCACCATGTGGCAAAGCCTGATTGGTCAATCTGTTGGATTTTGGTTTAGGGGAATGAAATAAAATCTTAGTATGGGGAAATTATTGATTTATTTCAAGTCAACTAATTCATACCAAAAGAACTTAAAGATGTTATTTGTTTGATAAAGTCAAATGTATTGTCAAATTTGTTGCATTTTTTTGTTTTGTTTTTTGTTTCTCAATATGAAGGAGTTAAGGCGGGAGGACAGCTGCGTCTGTGTCGGATTCTCCCACCGTCTGCTGATGAATAACCAGAGGAGTCAGAACACAACACCTGCTGCTGTTTCAATAACACACTGATGAAGCAGTGTTAAAAGTTAGTCCTTAAATTCTTCATTATTATTATTATTTTGCATTATTATTAACTTTGATCTTTTTGAGGTTACACATTCTGTAGAGACACAGAGTTAATGAGAAATGATTCTTGTTACACACCAAGGGGAAAAAATCTACATGGCTACATGTAGTGTGTCCTGTGTTGTAATATGTTTTTTAATCATTACACCAGAAGTATGTGGTTTTAGAGCAACAGGTGGTAACAACAAAGATATAATTATAATGAATTTCTTCTTCTTCAATAAAAGGTCATTTTAGCTAACTTGTTAGAGAGCATATTGATGGTGTAAAACAGTGAAAATTAAATTTGAATAGTAAATAATAGATTATTTTTATGAAAAAATATTTGTATATGTACACACACAGAGACACACACACACACGCACACACACATAGTATATCATTTATAGATAGATAAACAATATATTTTTATAATATTTAATGTATATATGTGACACTTTAAATATTTTTATACTTGATATTCAAAATGTATGATAATATTTTTTACGCTGTATAATACATTTCCCATGAGTTCCTTTGGGTAAAAATATGTAAATATTGTAACATTATGGAAGCCATAAAAACATGACATTTCTGAGTTTTTGACATGATTAACACAATTTGAGATTTAACAGCTCTTAGCGATTATGGTTCAAGAGACAGAATCTTTAGTGTAACACCTCATAAATTGAACCTTTGGATATTAAATAATTATGTAATACAATATATTGTTATGATTATTTGTAAACAATTACAATTTAATGAGCAAACAATACTTGTTTCTTCTGTTGTTTTGACCTGAAAAAAGTCCTGTGAGATTTAAATTGGTATTTGTATTTTGTTATCTTGTTAATATACTCAAATATATTTTTTCTGTCAAATATGAATTATTTTGATATTCGTTACTTTTATATTTTAACATTTAAACATGATTTGTAATACCCAATCATGAAATAAATAATCAAATACATCTCAATCAGCAGTTTCATCATAATAATTCTTGATTGTATTTTTGATATATGAGATGTGGATGTACATCACAGAATAACCCAGGGTCAAGGCAGTGCATGTAACCTGTAATGTCAACTCTGCCCACATCTGGTACAAGCTCCCTTTTCTGTGTATTTATGTACAGTAGCTATCTATATATAATCTGTTGAATGACTTCTGTATGGTAACATTCTGTTTCACTTGCATAATACGATTCATTTAAGGGAGGGGTGTGTTGATTTTAGGTCACCTGTAGAGGGCGACCATGGTACAGGATGGACTTGGTAGTGTTTTGGGTAAAAGCGCTTCCAAAACTCTTGCCACAGACAATTATGTTTCCAATAAAAATAAACCATTCTCCATAGGAATGCAGCAGTGAAACCATCATGGTCTATCATCCACAGGCAGAGCTGGGGCCCGGACTGTCTGTCTGTCTCTATAGCTGTGGTCAGACACTGATGTGTCAGATGACACAGTCGTCTCCATCTAAAAAGACCCAGATTTCCTCCCTGGACCTGAAAATCTAAATATCTGCAGGCGAGACATTTAATGTAATTCTCCGAAGATGTGACTGAGCGATTGGTCTGAGACTTGAGTTACAGTATGACTGTTGTCCTAGAGGATCGTCGTGTTGCTTGCAACTTGTTCAGGGAACTTAATGGACTTTTTAGACATGATTTTCTCAGATTTTGTTCCTAAAATCCTTTAGGAGAAACAAAAATAGACTCAAGTTGGATGATTGTTGACATACAGTTGGAGTATTAATGTGAGCACAACTCAGATCATTTATGAGAAATGTTTGCGTTCATATTGAGATCTGACTTTTCATTGTGAACTCTCGACTCAGTTTCCCTGCAGAAAATCCATCATAGCTGGCCATCAGCAGGGTTGGGTACTGTAACTTCTAAAAGTAATGAAAAAAAGTTACTTTTTCTCACCTGGGCTGGGCTTGCAAAAAAAAGTATATTTTTACGCGTGCACAGTAGAGGGCGCAGCTCAAACTAGCCTTTCAGCTGTGCTGCCATTTCTGATTGCAGAAGAATAGGGGGCGTTTATCTCCAGTTTTAGACAACAGCTGCTGCGTCCCAATTCAGAAGCTGCATTCTTCGAAGGGCGCATTTCATTGTCCCAATTCAAAGGCTCTTTCAAATGCGGGCTTCGTTTCCCGTGCAATGAAGGATACGGCAAGCCTTGCCTACTCCAGAATTCATTGCGCGCAAGTTACGACAGGATTTGTTTTTAGAGAAATTGCCAAATTACACATAAGTGCTGGGTTTCAACTTCCTGAAATATCTAATGATATTTGCCATGATGCAATTTTATATAGTTGATACTTTTTATTATGTAAATAAATGGACCAAGAGGAACATATTTAGACAGTTAGTGAACCCTGTTTTGTTTTTAGGCAGCTTTGAAAAAAAATCCAACAAATTACTGCTGCTCGTCAATGGCAGCTGTCACATTTGCTTGGCGGCAAATATTTAATATATTTAATATAAATATTTTCATATTACATTTTTTTAACAGCCCAAGCATGCATACTTATGGAAGCTTGTTTCCGCCACAGAATGAAAAATAAAAAAGGTAATTGCGACTTTTTATCTCACAATTCTGACTTTATTTCTCAGAATTGCGAGATATAAAGTCAGAATTGCGTGTTATAAAGTCAGAATTTATTGATATAAAGTCGCAATTGCAAGTTATAAAGTCAGAATTGCGTGAAATAAAGTCAGAATTGCGAGATATAAAATCAGAATTGCGAGATATAAAGTCAGAATTGCGAGATATAAAGTCAGAATTGCGAGATATAAAGTCAGAATTGCGAGATATAAAGTCAGAATTGCGAGATATAAAGTCAGAATTGCGAGATATAATGTCAGAATTGCGAGATATAAAGTCAGAATTGATTGATATAAAGTCGCAATTGCGTCTTATAAAGTCAGAATTGTGAGATATAAACTATTCTGAGGGAGAAAAAAAGTTAGTCTTTATTCCCCGTTAGAATTGGCCTGATAACTCGCAATTGCAAGTTTATATCTCACAATACTGAGAAAAGATGTCAGAATTTCGAGATATAAACTCGCAATTATGTGTTATAAAGTCAGAATTGCGAGATGTAAACTCGCAATTGTGAGAAAAAAAGTCAGAATTGTGAGATATAAAGTTGCAATTCTGTCTTTTTTTTCTCGCAATTGCGACTTTATTTCTCAGAATTGCGACTTTATATCTCGCAATTACGACTTTATTTCTCACAATTCTGACTAAATATCTCGCAATTGTGAGATAAAAAGTCGCTATTATTATTATTATTTTAATTCAGTGGTGGAAACAAGCTTCCATACATACTGGCCTATAGAATGGTGTGTGAACAAATTTATAAGGAAAAAATATTTAAATAATAAATCAGCTCCATATCGTATTCCAAGTGATCAAGGGCTTGTTCCATTTACACACATTGCTAGGGTTCCGCCAGTAGTGGGCAATGGGCACTCATGCAACGAAAGCAATGATGTGCATCCAAGTGAACGAGCTGAACCTTTAGACAATATACTTTAATAAAAAAAGTTTGCATAATAGTTTTTTGTTGAGTATCATATTTAATACATCAGGCTTTTATGGCTCATATAGTGTTATATAGGAGAATATGGAGCTCGCACTCCAGGGAAATAAACACCTGGGTTTTATTCAGAGGTCCAAACTGAGCAAAATTAAGTTTAGTGCAGTTGCTGATATTTAAATGGCCAGCAAATTGGTTTGGTTTCCCCAAATTCAACTGAAAATGACTTTTAATGACTTCTGCAGTCTCAAAATTATTCAACCCCTTCATGGCAAGCATCTTTAGTACTCCGTAGAACACCCTTTTGCTGTTATGACCTACTGACACCAGCTTCTGTTTGCGTTTCGGAGGAATCTTAGCCCATTCCTCATGAGCAACGGCCTCCAGTTCAGTAATGTTCTTGTGTTTGCGTGCTGCAACCGCCTTCTTCAAATCCCTCCAGAGGTTTTCTATGGGTTTCAAGTCAGGTGACTGATGGCCACTGTAGACTCTTCCAGGACCTCTTCTGTAACCAAGCCTTAGTGGAATTTGAGGTATGCTTGGGATCATTGTCCTGTTAGAAGGTCCAATGACGCCGATCTCCAGCTTCCTCACTGACGGCATGCCGTTTTCTCCTAGGATTTCCTGATACTACAGTGAATCCATCTTGCCTTCCACACGCTGCAGGTTTCCAGTGCCAGAGGATGCATAGCAGCCCCAGAGCATCACCGAGCACCAACATGCTTAACTGTAGACAGTGTTCTTTTCAGCTTATGCTTCATTCTTCTTCCTCCAGACATCCCGCTGATCCATAGGGCCGAAAAGTTCCAGTTTTGTTTATCGCTCCACAGAACAGAATCACACAACCTCTGTGGCTTATTTATATATGATTTTGATCAAATTGGAGCCGACTTTTCTTGTGCCTTTGTGTACGTCTTGGAGTTCTTGCATGGAAACCACATGCGTTTAATACGCACCTTACAGTGCAAGCTGAAACCCCAGTGCCTGTTGCCACTGAGTCTTGCTGTAGGTCTTTTGCAGTCACTCTACGGAGTCATTCAGTGGGTTGAATCATTTTGA